AGGCTGAATCAATTCTCGAACGGGAACCCCGAGGGATCAAAGATCAGCGATTTGACATTCATCAACGAGGACGATACCGCGTTTTTGATGACAGGCTCGTCGGACGGCGTACTGCGAGTTTACCGGGGCTACGATTCTTCTAAGAAGACTGAGCTGGCATCGTCATGGAGAGCATTAACTCACATGGTGCCGAGCAACGTGAACTCTGGGATGGTCTTCGATTGGCAGCAAGTAACGGGCAATGTGCTCGTTGCAGGGGACGTACGTGTCATTCGGGTCTGGGCTGCCGCGTACGAAACTTGCATCATGGACATCCCCGCACGCTCGGGCTCCTGCGTCACGTCGTTGACGTCGGATCAGAGGACAGGCAACATATTCGTTGCCGGATTCGGGGATGGCGCCGTCAGGGTGTTCGACACTAGACTTCGCCCGCAGGAATCGATGGTAAAGAAGTGGAAGGACGATTCGCAGTGGATCAGAAACGTGCACATGCAACGCGGCGGTCAGCGAGAGCTGCTGTCCGCGAGCCGAAACGGAAAAGTCAAGCTATGGGATATCAGAATGGACTCGCCACTTCGTGTTATCCAGGCATCGCGCGACACCCTCCGCACAGCCAGCACCCACGAGCATCTCCCGGTGTTCTCTGTGTAAGTCATAAGCTCATACCCAGTTTTCGCGAGCTCCCTGCTAACAAGAATTTCAGCGGAACGTCTGCACACACAGTGAAAGTCTTCAACTTTGACGGCAACGAACTCTCTCGCATGGAGCCTTACTCGAGCTTCCTCCAACAGAATCGCGGCGCGCCTATCTCAGCCACCGCCTTCCACCCTCATCGTATGATCTTGGGCTGCGCGGCCCGTGGCGATCAGCACATCAACCTGTTCACCTGTGCCACCGATAAGCCCGAGACTTTCCTCGGCTCGCTGTAAACTTCCACCTCCGCGTACGCCACCTCTCCGCATTGTCACCATCCCACCCGTCTCCGTACGACTCGAAGAAGGAATCGAGGGCGTTCTTTTTCAACGCTACGACCGACTGGCGGAGTTCTATTAACGACATCCTGTGTTTTCTGTTTTTTTCCTAATTTACGACTGAAGTGCCCACTCGCATGACGGCTCAGGGTAGATGATGTGTAGATATACCTAATGGACCAGGGAGGTAGGCATGTACGCAGGCATTGAGGCATTTTCAAGATGGATGGTTCTCGGGCGGCGTCGTCGGATTCGGTAGGAAGGGTTGGCTGGTCGGTCGGTTCAGCAGAAAGGCAGGCAGGGTTTCGCATCGTTCGGTTGGTCATGTTGCTCTGATACGGATCAAGGGGTTGATCTCCTATGCCTAGATTACAAGAACGCCTGCCGCTGGTGGTAGTCTAGGTATCTAATAATACGCCATGGCTTTCATGTTCTCGCTGCGCTTTACTCGGTACTGCTGCTGCTTGTTGCTGCCTATGTTTCTATGTTGCTGTTTGACCCAAACTAACTCCTGCTCGTGTAGACATAACCTGGAGGATTTCTGATCGAAACAGAGTGAAGCTACCAGTTCTCTCTTTTTCTTTCTTTTTTTTAAGAACTGTCTATCCCTGTTCCCTTAACCGCCTTTTCAATCAAAATACGAGTTATGGATAAGTAAGTAGGTATTCTACCTGAACCCCTTTCCACTTCCCATCTACTCCGTACGACATAACGAGTTGTGAGCAAGAATGGATGGATAAAGAGAATTACTTTAAGATTAACTTATAACTACAGCTGGTGCCTCCCGCTTTCCTCTGTGCCATGGCAGACTGGATACGAGAATAGGCAAGACACGTGTCTGTCTGCCTTGACGCCAACATATGCATTCTACAAATGTCCTCCGCTTCCCTCCATACCAATAGCAAAAACGCTGCCTTATTGATGTATCTGTCGCGATGAGTTAGCCTTGCTTTCCTTACCTAGTATGATCTTTCTGGGGACTACAAACCAGGCACTAGAAATGAAAAGAAAGGGGTAGGGTAGTCGGCACTTACACAACACAATACTCAGTAAACCTGAAAAACCACCACACCATCAAGAACCACCAATCCAACCATCCCCATCTCAAAAAACCAACTCCAGGCAGCAGGCTAAAGGCGAAAGGCAACAGAAAGGCAGGCTACAACCAACCGGGAGGATACCCAGGCGGCGGATGCGGTGGACCAACCCAATCGAAAAAATAACCAACGTCGCCGGGACGCCAAGTCTCCCTGTTGGTTCCCTCATCCTCATCCTCATCCGGGTCCGCGTCCGCGTCCGCATCCCCCATCTCGACGTCCCCGTTCGTCATCCCGCCGTCCCCGTTCACCACCCCGTTCACCATCCCATTTCCGGTCGTCGTTCCCGTTTCAGCTCCGGTGCCCGCGCCAGTAGACGGCGTCCCGAGCAACGTTGTTCCCGTTCCAGCCCCAGTGCCAGTGCCAGTGGACGGCGTCCCGATCACCGTCGTTCCTTCGAGCTCGCGGGGCAGCGACTCGTCGACGGGCGCGGTCTCGGTGATGGTCGGGAGGCGCGGGGAGTTGGCGCCGCGGTTCATGCCATTTGTGCCGTGTCCAGCTGCGTTTGCGTTTGCGTTTGCGTACGGGCTTGGGCTCCGGTTCGGCGGCGGATTCGGATTGGGAGTTGTGTGCGAGTGGGAGCTTGGGTAGTACGGCTGCGCGTTGCCCTGCGGCTGCGGGTAGTTTGTATTCGGGGCTTGCGAGGGTGAGGATGGTACGCCGAGGGCTTGTTGGAGCGAGGGAAGCTGGCTCGCGGCTTGTTGGAGCGAGGGGAGCTGGATCTCGGCTTGTGGCTGCTGTTGTAGCTGCTGTTGCTGCTGCGGTGGCTGCTGAGACTGCCACGGAATGGGGAACACCAACTGGGGGGACTGGATCGGGAGGTCTGGGATCGCGTTCTCTCCCTCGGGCGAGTTGGCAGGGCTGTTGTTCGGGACCCACGACCCGATGCCCATTACGTTGGCCTCACCCTCGACGAAGCGGCTCTGTCTCGGCTGTTGGAACGGTGGTTGCCAGCCCGCCCACGCGAGGTCGGCTTGCGTAAGGAGCTCGTGGCATACGATAGTGTAGCTCTGGAGACGGCGTAGGCAGAGTCGGCAGTAATGGCATCCGCACCCGAGCGTGCGGAGCTCGACGCGGTCTTCGTGGCACATGTCGCACCTGACCGTTGGCCTCTTCTGGGTTTCGCCATAGTCGCCGTCATCCTCGGGGTACGAGCGGGATCTCTTCCTGCCGCCCAACATCTTAAGATATCACCAAGAGGGATACAAGATTCGTGAATATTCTAGGGAGGTTGCTTAATGGATTAAGTGCCTTGTATGTAATGTTGGCATTGGGTAGAATAGGGTATACCGGTATGGTGTATGGGAGATGATGGTAGGTTGCTTGGTGTTTGTAGAGGAGAACCTGAGAGACGCCTAACCTTGGATAAGTCTACGAAGGAATGGAATAGAAGTAGTGACCTGAGTATGATATTCAGGGGCAATGGACGCCTTTCACCCTTTCCTCTGCTTCTTCCTCCTACTCGGTCCTTGAGTTGGCGGCTTCACATGCTGCATCGCGCCAGCCCTCCTCGTTGGTCAGAATCGGGTTCGGTTTCCTAAATCGGCAGTATGACTTCGCGGCCATGGTTGTACCTATCGCAGACATGTTTCTCTGTACAAGGTGAGTAAGAACTATAGCAGAGAAGTAGAGGGTGTGGCAGTGAGTTTTGTTTACGTAGGCAGGTGAGGTGACGAGCTTCCCCTGAGTCCCTATTTTCTCCGTGTATCATTTCATCGCAACTATCTAAGCACTCAACTATTCTTACTATTCCTTCGAGTAGAGACCACACAGGCGGAATTTGTCGACCTAGGTACCGATGAAAATAACTGGATCAACGAATCCCACGCCACAATTGCGCTTCAGATACCGGGCAATCCTTAAGCGATGGAATAGTTCAACCAATTGCAATGGCTGAATTGACACCAAGTTGGACGATTTGGGAAATCTTGCTGTCAGGGGCCCTTGGCATGATGTGCTCGATGCTGCATAGGCGTCAATACAACTGCAACGTGATTGCAGACAGCCTAATCCGGGATTCGGTTCCATGTACAGATTCATGTACAGACGCCTTGGGTCTGCGTAGTAATCACGAAGCTTGGTAAAGAAGGAATGAAGTATTTGATGGAAGGCTCTGAAGACAGTAGGTATTAATTTTGAAAGCATCAATGATGTTTGAAGCAAACAGTAGTATGTAATACACAATAGGAAAACATCCCACACTGCTCGGCAGCTTTGCTACATGTAGATTATCAAGATTCTGGTCACCTCTGATCTTTTCCATTTTATCAGCTTCAATGTGCTGTAGCTACCAACCTAGGCAGGTCTTCAAAAATACATAGACCATACTTAGACAAGGGGTGCATAATACATAGGTACTAGGTAGATTCCAAAATAGACAAGGGGCAGATACCCTTTCATGTGCCCCTTTCCTAACAGAAGCTGTGCGGGAGGCTTCTAATACCACAAGCTCCCGCCTTGTCTTCCAGCTCACAAAGCAATCACAACTGGGTGCAGGTGTACATACATGTAGGGAGGAAACAGCAAGGCTTTTTGCCTCCTTCCAGCAGCAGAAGCTTCCCACGTGTCGTCAGAGCCTAAAAGATGATCATGTGTAGAGATAATGGTGTCATCCTATGAGCTGTTGCTATAATGATAGCCGGTACTCTCTTGATCATGTCATGTGCAAGTCCCAAGGATTCTTCATTGGCCGCATCTGTTGCTTTAAGGAAGGAACTTGAACCTAGGTACGCAGAAAGTGAGCCCACTTAGATAGATAGACCATCATCGAGTCCTTCCGTTGACAGAACAGAACCCCACAGAGATGACTAGACTCTGACCGGATCCTAACTGGACATATATACCTAGATCCACGTATGATTCCCCAATAACAAGAGGTGATGCATATTATCCCACATGGCCAAGTGGTTGGTTTGCTCCTATGAATACCAACGCCCGCATGTAGTAGTGGTTAACTTATCGGCCTCCGACTATACAGTAGGACAGCCGATAGCCGAGTACCCGGGTTCGAATCCCGGTGTGGGCTCACCCCATCTTTTTGATTTTCATTTGTCGATCCATGAGTGTTTATCATTAATCGATGCTTGTTGTCGATGTTTGTCTTGACACTCTCCTCTTTGTTGTGATAGATTTATTTAGGTAGTATGACTGATTGGTCTAGTTCCGAACCATTCCTCAGAAGTCCCCAATATCCTAATTGACTCTCTTCTAGGAGGTCCCCTTCGTACAGAAATCACTGTACTCGGCGCCCTACAAACTACTTACAGGATGCTATTCGGCGATTGGAGGCCTGCATTCCATCCTCTTGCCTGAAAGGCTACTCAACCCCATAGGCTGGTAAGAACGCCACATCGAGAAAGAAGTAGCGATGCTGTGGGTCAACAATCTAGTCATTTTGGTGCTGACACATTGCAGACAGGTTGAAGATTAATTATGTAGGTACTGTGTCGTCATCCATGTGAAAGGAGTAAGTGATTTAGGCTCATCGCATCTTAGATGGTTAGCATTGCTTGAACGACCTCCATATCCACGTATTGGTATCAGCACTAGTCAGTTGGTATCGTGCCATTAGACAGCGAGGACTGAAGACTGATATTTCCGCCCGTTGGCTACCGCATACATCAGTTCAATCGGTAGCTAAATGAACTGTTACGTGGTCATGCTGCGAGGAGATATGCTGCTCCCACTACCAGAAGCTGACAACTAGGTAAATTCAACCATACCATGTATCATTCTGGATACTCATCTTATTGACTGATACGAGGCCTAGAATCGTTTGGATAGAGGTCGATGCGAAGAATTCCATACCTTCATTGGATAGCTATCAAGCCTTGAGTGACTGGTACGCAGGTGTCCGACATAAATAGATGCCGAAGCTCCCACTTGATTTTCCCAGAGGACCAGTCAATCAACTCATCCAACCCGATTAAGCCACTTAATATGTTATTCACTCAGCTATTTTTCGGCCTCCTTCTCAGTTCCCAAGCCTCGCACGTCCAAGGGGAACCGATCCTAGCACGACAAGACCTAGATAACCGAGCCTCGGGTCTCTTGATCGACTTCAACGCCGCGCGCGGTGACGACCCTAGGTTACTCGGGACTCTCAACCTAGAGAAGACCAAGGGCGATAAACTCAAGGCAAACACCAAGGACTTATATGTCAAGCTGGGCAGCGACTGGAAAGGGACGAAATGTGCCCACTTCCACCATGCAACTGGAGACCGAAGGTAAATATCCTCCTCGAAGATGACTTGTGCAATTCGGACTAATAGCGGAATTTATTAGAGCTGAATATCACGCATTGAATGGCCAGACCAAGTCAGGAACCACATACTATATCACGTATAAGCTTGCTCTCGAGGTAAGATAATCAACTCCATCTTCGCCATGCCGTGCCTTGATCACGGCTCCAGTGTGTGCCAGCTCACATACCTGCAGCAACTGCCCGACGGCCTCATCGTTTTCCAATGGAAAGAATACAAGGCCAACAACGACAAGGACGGCGGCGCCAACATCCCCCTGGCGCTCGAATTAAGGGGTAAGAAGCTCGAACTCTCGTACACTCTCGGATGGGGTCAAAGTCGCCAGGTGCAGTGGACCCAAGACGTTGAGCCACGCAAAGAGTACAAGATCGGGCTGGAGATTCTCGCCAAGGCGAAGGGCGGCTACGTCAAGCTCTGGCTCGACGGCAAGCCCGTAACTTTTACCACTACCAGGTCCCAGGTCCTAGTCGGCAATATGTATCCCGGCCAGAGCGATCCCAAGTTCGGCATTTACGGCGGGCAGATGGGGATAGTTGACAGCTACGTCTACCAAGTGCAGATTGGCACGAGCAAGAACGCCGTTGACCAGAGCTATTTTGGTAAGTGAGAAGAATACAGAGGGAGGTAGCTTAGATCATGGATATGCTGGATAGCCAGACGCATCAAAATCCACTGTTACCTATCGTATTGTCCTGTCTCACCGCTAAGGGTGCATGGCGGATGGTTGTTCTAGCACTATGAACACTCTTGCTGCCTCAACTACTGCGTGTAGCCTCTGCAACACGGACAAAGGAAGGTTTACTTGCCATAACTCGGCCAGTTTTCGCTTTCCTATGTCGAAGCTACCCCTGCATCTGCACATTGCATCATGCACAGTAGTTCGAGTAGTCATTCGACACTAATCCACGTCGGGTCGTCCGTATTACTCATTAATTGACTTAATCCGAGCTCCGACCCCGGATTCGCGATCCTTCGGTCATGTCATGCAACTTCACTTACAGATGTCATATACTATATCGAGAGCCCAGTCTACAGCCTGTAATTCCTCCCGTATCCCTGGTAGCCTCGGACTACTTTCACGTCATTATTAAATTATCCATATCCCCATTCCAACCTGCCCAACCACCACAAGTAACAACCTGCCACCGGAGCCAATCTTTCTCGGCAGACACAGCCATGCCGACCCAGCTCCCGACCTCCGCCCCCCAAAGCCCACCAGCCCGGTTCGCGGCAGTCCTATTCCCCGGCTTCCAAGCCCTCGACGTCTTCGGACCGCTCGACATCCTAAACTTACTCTCCAAAAGGACACCCCTAACGCTCTCCCTGCTCGCCAGCACGCTCGACTCGGTGTCCACCAACACCATCATCAGCCCCAGCGCCAACCCCAGCGCCAAATCCGGTGGGAGCAGCTCCAATGCCATATCCCAGTCCGTACTCCCGACGCAGACCTTTGCCGCCGCGGCCGCGGATGACGTCGAGGTGCTGCTGGTGCCGGGCGGCTTCGGCACGCGGGACCCGGCGAATGTGGGGCCGGCCGTGGACTTCGTGCGGGCCGCGTTCCCGCGCCTGCGGTACCTGCTGACGGTGTGCACGGGCAGCGCCGCGGCGGCGATGGCGGGGGTGCTGGATGGGCGGCGGGCCACTACGAATAAGCGGGCTTGGGAGTGGGTGAGTTTTTATTTTCTTTTTCGTTCTTTTTTACGAAAGAAAAGGGAGATGAAAAAAAAGGGGGGGGGGGAAGAAATTTGCCCTGTTTATTTTATTATGGGGTTTGGCGGTTCTTTACCTTGCCTTGCCTACGTATATCCAAGACCGACGATTCACTCTTCTCTCTACCTCGTAATGGTCGCGCTGACAGGCCAAGAGGCCACGGCCCAGGGCCCGAAAGTGAACTGGGTCCGCCAGGCCCGCTGGGTCACCGACGGGAACGTGTGGACGTCGTCCGGCATATCGGCGGGTATTGACATGATGTACGCCTTTGTCGCGGATCAGTACGGCGAGGACGTCGCGCGCGAACTGGCTGACGCGGCCGAGTACGTGCGGAATACTGATCCGGATGCGGATCCGTTTGCTGTGAAGGCGGAGGCCGGGGTGCCTCGATAGGGCGGATAGGGCGAATCGAGGTGTTGGTAGGCTAGAATAAGGCCATGAAAGAGTCAGTTGTTTGTTTTGGCGGAGGCTGGTGAGATGGGCTGGTATGGGTGTGGATGGGAAAAGGATGATACCATTGCGGAAGGGTAGTTGTAGATTGAGTAGAACTAGCATCGTGTATTACTCTCGTCGCCTAGATAAAACCTTTTTTCCCTAGTTATGTTTACAATAAAGAAGGACAGCGTCTTACCTATGTTCTATGAGGCTAGTTATAAATGACTTGGTCGAGAACTCTGGACTTCTTGCAGGAGTCCGAGGTCGTGTGAATTGTCAACGAGAAAAGGGGGTATCGTAAAATATGCCACTTTACCCGGGGATTTCGCGCTCTGCAAGACTAGGTAGGTGCCAGGTAAGGTATCTGATCGCAAAAGATGAAAAGATTTAAGGTTGTCTTGGACGTTGCTGTCGGGCCGGCAACCAGGTATGGCCTGGTCGTCGCCGACCTTGGGCGGGAGGTACAGAGGTACCTTCCTGCCTCAGGTAACTGAACATATAAGGTCAAATTGTCCACCCTAATTTCAATCCAGCTAATGGGTTGCTGTGGTCAGATGGTTATGACTGGCACCTCTCACTACGAGGTGGTGGGTTCGAATCCCACTGTGTGCGCTACTTCCAATTTGGAAGCTGTTGGGTATGGTCGGATAACCTGTCTGTGAGCTTAGGCTATACGTAGTCTGTATTTGTCCAACGTCCTTCTGACCTACCTCGAGGGGATCTGGGGAATTGAGGGTTCTGGGGGCTGCTTTTTTATTTTCATTTCTTCCTTTTTTTTCCCCCTTCATCTACGGCCTAATCGCTTCGATATTCTTTTTATAAGATGCTCGCTCGGGCTGTTCACTATCATTCTAGGCATAGTCACAGGTTTGAGGTCTTGATGCGTCGTAATTGAGCCTGAGTAAATGTTCAACACAGAAGGTAGCAAGGCTTAAAGGGGTTCATCACCATTTTGTTTTCGCAAATCTTTATGATTTTGGTACAACTGATTAAGGCAATCCCACGATGTCTTCAAAATATAAGTAATGGCTCGAACTATAGATACTATTCCATAGTTCGCTTACAGTCTGCTGTAAAAGATTGTTCAGAGTAAAATGGTACTCTGACCTGACTTAGAGACTGTCCAATCGAGGACACCGGCATTCGAACTATGGTTATTTAGGAACCTTGCCTAGTTCTACCTATGTAGATGCATGGTTTATACGCTGTTAATTGCCATGGTACTTACCTGGGTGGTGTTAATCAAGTTACCTATCTCCACGCATACGACCCCTATTCACTTGAACAAGTCCGTCGACTTTACCATCCAACGACGATTACCTATACGAAAGTTATAAGCAGACTTGTATATTGTAAGCTATTATATAATCAAAGTTGAGCTAAGCCGAGTAACCCAGAGCAGTCCTTCACCCTAAAGTGTATGTGCACTTTTCGTATGCTGGCGCTGTCACCGGAGAAGATCCATCGTCCCTGACATTCTAATGAGAACCTAATATCCAACATCCAGCAAGACATCAACTCACTCAATGTGAAGATTCGCTTGAACCGAGATGTGTTCCTCAGTAGCAATGTCACATCCACAACCAACATGAACGTACTGTATGTGGTGAGCATTTGT